GTGCTGCCCTCCGCGTCTTAAAGGCGCCGCGCCTTCCCCCGCCTCGTTCTTCGGTGCCTGTTTGTGTTGAGGCTCAGACTGTTTAGCGTGGGGACCGAGGGCGCAGGACTGGATTTAGGGGGGGCCCTTGCCAATTGCTTTTACTTTTTAAAGGAGCTAGAGGAGTTGTGTAGGCATTTTCTGCCTGTCCGTTGGGAGTGATCGAGCCACTGAGTTTCATTCATCAAAAGCGTTTCTGCACCCCTAGCAGTATTCAGCCCCAACTGCAGCAGATGGGGGAGTGGGGGGTAGCGACAGGTACAGACACTTAATAAGATCAACTGTCTTCTCTGGAGGAAACAGACCCAGGACCGGGATGTGGCCCCCTGGTTGGCGGGGTGACTCTCAGGGGCCTCCTCAGGCTTAGGAAGTTGACCACCAATCACACTCTGGGTCCCCAAAAATGGAGAGGGAAGGGGAGATTCTAGAAGCAGCAAGGATCAGGATGGGACACTCCCAGAATACACTTTTCCTTCCAGGGTGCAGGGCGGCCGCAGTCCCACCACCCTTGATTCACGAACCCCGCCCTGCCTGGCCAAGCCCTGTGGGGCAGTAGGGAAGCATCCTGCCTTCAAAGAGCTCCGAGTTTGGGAGAAGAGGGCATCTCTCCCCAGGCCCAGGCAGGAAAAATGAATGAGGAGTGGGAGAGGGTCTCAGATTTTCAGGTAAGACATTTAAGCTGACCTTGCAACATAAGGAGGATTTTGACGGGCCTGAGAAGGGGGAATAGCTTGAATAGAAGCAGGGAAAAATCAAAGATCCAAGTCGTTAGGGATGACAGACTTTCCTGGACCAAACTCGAGCTCATCCTTTAAGGCCCAGCCCTAGGGGCCTGCATCTTCCCCTAATTCCAATTTCCCCCATCCTTCTTCTGAGCCTTGGGTCCTCCATCTTACCTTGGGAGGTAAGCCCTCCCTCATGAGAGCACTTCAAACTGCAAAAGAGCAGTGGCTATGAGGTCTAAAATGTACGGTGTTATAGGGGGTTGTGGTGCCCAGTGGGGACAGAAGAAGAGATGAGATGTCTCTCACTGTTATGGAAGAACAGTCTTTGCTTCCGGAAAAACCTGGCTCGGGGGTCCTAGTTCAGTTCCTCCCAGCTTGGACAAGTCACTTAAGTTCTGCCTCTGAGCTCCAGGTGGAGAAAGTAATGCTTGCCTTAAAGGATTGTGGAGAGGACGAGGACAGGATATTAGACTGAGTCCTCAGCAGGCCATCAGAAATGGGGCTTGTTACTGTCTCATCCAAGGGTTCTTCTTTTTAATTGAAGTATAATTGACTTACAATATTACATTAGCTTCAGGTGTATAACATAATGATTCAGTGCATTATGAAATGATCACCGCGATAAGTCTGGTTACCATCTGTCACCATACAAAGTTATTACAGTATTATTGACTATAGTTCCCATGCTGTTCATTATAACCCTGTTACTTATTTATTTTTATACCTAGAAGTTTGTCCCTCTTAATCTCCCTCACCTATTTTGCCCATTCCCCCTTCCCCCCACCGCCTCTGGTAACCAGAAGTTTGTTCTCTGTATCTCTGAATCTGTATTTTATTATGTTTGTTCATTTGTTTTCTTTTTTAGATTCAACATATAAGTAAAATCATATGGTGTTTGCCTTTCTTTGTCTGACTTACTTCATTTAGCATAATAACCTCTAGGTCCATCCGTGTGGTCACAAATGGTAAGATTCATTACGGCTGGAATGATAGTCCTGTATGTGTGTTACCACATTTTTATCTGTTCATCTGTAGAAAGATTCTTAGGTTGCTTCCATACAAGGATTCTTAATTTGAGGCAGCCCAGTTAAGTTCCCTCCCCACCAGGGCTTCAGGAACCCCTGCATCTGCCAGAAATTATATGCATAATGATCACAGCTTTCAACAAACTCAGAGTCTCCTGATCTCCCAAACTGAGTCACTAGGGTGAGGGTAGAGCTCAGTGGTTAGCACATGCTTAGTGTGCACAATGTCCTGTGTTCAATCCCCAGTACCTTCCCTAAAAACAAAGAAATAAATGAACCTATTTACCTCCCCCCTCAAAATAAATAAATAAATAAAAATTTGGGGGAAGAAAAGTCACTGATTACTCCAACTTCCTGTCTTACCAATGGAGAAATGGACCCAGAGAGGGAAAGGGATTTGCCCAAGGTCACAGAGCAAGTAAGTAGGGAAGCTAGGACCAGCATCCCAGGGTTAAGAGGCCTCCCCATGGCCCACCCTCCTTCTGGAGGGGGGAGGGATGTGAGAGGAGAGGAGCAGGTCCTGAGGGCTGGGACCCCTGCCCAGGGCCAGTCAGGATCCTTTCAAACACTGGTAGGGCCAGGGACCCACCCACACTTCTCTGGAACCCTGGGCAGTCCTGGCTTCACGCCCTCTCTCCCTTGAGAATGAGAAATTGTACGTTTTTAACTTCTATTTTAAGATCTTGGTCATCCCCAGGGCTAGAACCATTCTTCAGAGCTGCCCTACCTTGAGCTAGGGAGTAGGCCTTTCTGCCTGCCACCCCCACCCCCTTCAATCAATCAGGCTTTGAATATGGGCTGACCCAAGAGAGGGGCCCAAGGCTGACCTTGGGCCAAATGCGTCTCAGATTCCTCCCCCTTTCAGCACCACAATTTCATCAACCCTTCCCCACTTGTTTGTTCCCTCTAGTTCAGCTAGTCTGTCTCTACCCTTCAGCCAGAACAATCTTCAGAACGCAAATCAGATGTGACCAGGCCAATCAGGCTGCACCGTTACCCTCCCCTCACCCCACGTGGCTGAAATGGCTTCCTCCTGCGCTCGGGACAAGTCCAAACTCCCTGCCAAGGACAAGGCCCCCCACCCACACCCCTGTCACATTCCCCTCACCCGGTCCCTGCCGTCCTGGCCTCTCACGGTCCCTGCTGTCCCTAGAGCCCTTAGACATGCAGTCCTTTTTTCTGGAATATTCTTCCCTCTCTTTGCTCATAACTCATCCACCAGCTCTCAGCCTAGGTGTTCCCTCCTGGCGTCTCTGCACCTCCAATGACAATGGCACTCCCACTTGCCCTTTTGGGTGGAATACTGGACAAATGGTTGTCCCACCACTAGACTGTAAGCCCCTTGAGGGCAGGGACTGCGCTTCTCTCTGCTCCCATGCAGATAATGCTGACCGATGTCACAGTCTGGGTGCTGTCTGGATCCTAGAGGAAGTCAGACTGCCTCTCACAGTACCCTCCAGGCAGAAGTGCTCAATGGAAGTGACTGAATAGGGGGAGGGTATAGCTTAGTGACAGATGCATGCCTAGCATGCTCAAGGCCCTGGGTTCAGTCCCTAGTTCGTACCTCCATTGAAAAAACCATTAAACCTAACTACCTCCTCCCCTAAATAAAAAAAAAATTTTAAGTGACTGAACAAATGAATGTCAGGTAAGTCCCCCAAGGTGGTCCCTCACCTCTCTGAGGTGGGAGAGACAAAGTTGGGAAACTCCAGAACAGGAGCTGGAGACATTTCCTCTGGGAGACAGATGGACCACTAAGGGATTAAATGGGCTAGTGTGTGTCCCTGGCCTGGGGCCATCTGGGAGAAGGTTCCAGAGCTGGGAGAGGAACTGCTGTAGAGAGGGCCTTGGGGAGGAAGGGTACTGCCAAGAAGCAGAAGTTGGCCACCGGGGAAGCCCTCCTAATCCCAATCATCGTGGAGGAAAAGGAGGCTTTGGGAGGTGAGACAATGTAGTGACTGAGAATTCAGACCTAGGCTTCAGCTGATGGACTTGAATTCTAGCTGTGTGACCTTGTACAAGCTTCTTAACCTCTCTGAGCCTTGCTTGCCTCATCTGACAACCATAAGGTGGTGTCCATTGGTAGGAGACTGGTTAAATAAACCCATTTGGCAACAGTCTGGCACAGAAGTTAAATGTGCTAGTTTCAGACAGCCAGACTGGCATGACCATTTATTATCTGTGTGACTGTGGGCAAATAAATAAATCTGTCTAAACTTCAGTTTTATAATCTATTAAATGGGAGTAATTATCAAACCTAGCTCATAAGGTCGTTGAGAAGTTTAGCTGAGCCAAAATTCATATAGAACCATAGCAGACATGCCTTGTGAGTGTTAGCCACCACTGTGCTGTTATTCCACCATCCATACAGTGGCCCCGACAGCCAGTCAAACAAGCAAAGAGGATAATATCTGTTCGTTCATTCATTCAGTAAATATTTACTAAGCATTGACTATGTGTCAGGCACTATTGTAGGCACTGGCGATACTGCAGCAATGAAAACAGTGCAAAATCAGGAGGTAGATGCCCCGCCCCCGCCTGTCTTGTGGATCTTATATTCCCATGGGGTGGACAAAGGATACACAAAATAAGTAAATAATTGGCCAAGTATATTAGTAATGATACATGCTACAAGAATAATAATAAAGCATACAAGAGAGATGGGAAATGGTGAGTGGCCACCTTAATCAAGGAGTCAGGGTAAATCCCACTGGGAGATGACACTTAGCAAAAATGTAACAACACTGAGCAAGGCAAGTCATGCAGACATCTGCAGTAAGAGCTCTCAGACGGAAGCACAGCAGATGCTCCTAGATAGCCTCGGTGTTGACAAGAGACAGGAGGTTAGACGGACTGGAACAGAATGAGCAAAGGAGGAGGAATAGGAGGTGAGTCCGCGATGAGATCACGCCAGGCTCATGGGCCACTGCAAGGACATTGCCTTTGACTCCCAGCGAGACAGGATTTCTT